TGATTCCAAAGAATGTCCATATATTTCAATTGGCTAATCGTTGTCTAAAGTCCTTTTAACCATATAGTATTTTTTCTTTTTTTAAATCCCTCTTGCAATTTGTTGAAGAAATTGTCTGAGTTTTGCTGATTGCATTTGTATGCTATTGTTTCAAAAAGGCCTCCCATATATTATCATTATAAATTGATGTTTAGATCTAGATACTTAATCAGGATCAGGGTTGATTTGGGGATGGAATGATATTCCAAAGGTGGTGGTGCAAATGTTCCTCAGGACGCATATATTCTCTCTCTCTCTCTTTTTTCAGCTCAATGAAGTATAATCAACACATATGATTGTAACATAATTAAAATATATAAAGTAATGATTTGATATACACATACATTGTTAAAGCATTTCTACAAGCAACTTAACTAACATGTCCACTACCTCACATATTTACTTTTTTTTTTTTTACAACTCCTAAATTCTTCGCTCTTAGCAAATTTCAGTTGTACAATACAGTATTGTCAGCTATAGTCACCATGTTATACATTATATCCTAAGGCCTTATTCATCTTATAACTGAAAGTTTGTACCCTTTTACCAACTTTTACCAGCTTCTCCCCATTCTCCTCATACTGAACCCCTTGAAATCACCATTCGACTCTCTGTTTTTAGGAATTCTTCCCCCCACCACCACCACCAATTCCACATACAGTGATACCATGTAGCATTTGTCTTTCTCTGCCTGGCTCATTTCACTTAGTATAATGCCCTCCAGTTTCATTCATGTTATTGCAAATGGTAGAATTTTCTTCTTTTAGAGGCTGAATAATATTCCCTTGCACATATACACACCACGTTTTCTTTATCCATTCATCTGTCAATGATTCCATACTTTAATTACTGTGACTAATGCTGCAATGAACATTTGGAGTGTAGAGAGTTCCTCAAATTAATTTCATTTCCTTTGGTATATACCCAGAAGTGGGATTGCTGGATGATAGTTCCATTTTTTTTTTTTAATTTCTTGAAAAAGCTTTGCACTGTTTTACATAGTGGCTGTACCAGTTTATATTCCCATAACAGTGTAATGCTGGAGGAAGCATATATTTTGAATTATCTCTCTTTTTGTGATATTTGAAGCCATTGAGCTCCATTGCTTAGACACATTATTTCATGAAGGATTGCAAAATGAATATATTCTATCAGTTGGAATACTTCTACAAAAGAAAACTTCCCCTCAGTAAGTCTCTGGTTAGTTGAAGGTACTGTTTGTAAAGGCAAGTCAGCAAAAATGCTTGAAATTTTCCATTTTTTCCATTTATTAATTGGTTTTCTTTTTTTAACTTTATTTTTATTGTTTACACTAGTATAGATGTCCCCATTAACCCCCCCTCCGCCCCCAACACACACACACACACACACACACACACACACACCGCTTGCCCACCTCCACCCAACTTTCACCACCCCTTCCCTGGGATCATCATCACACTATTGTTTGTGTCTATAGGTTATGCATATATGTTCTTTGGCTAATCCTTTCACTTCCTTTCATTCAGTCCACCCCATCCCCTCTCTTAGCTCCTCTGACAGTAAAATCTCAAACATCTCTCATAGCAATATTTTTGCTGACATACTAGTAGCCTCTAGGGCCTTGGTCGGCAAGCTGTGGCTCTTGAGCCACATGCAGCTCTTTGGCCCCTTAAGTGTGGCTCTTCCACAAAATATCATGGCCTACGCGAGTCTATTTTGAAGAAGTGGCATTAAAAGAAGCTTAAGTTTAAAAAATTTGGCTCTCAAAAGAAATTTCAATCGTTGTACCATTGATATTTGGCTCTATTGACTAATGAGTTTGCCAACCACTGCTCTAGGGCAAGGGAAACAAAGAAAAAAATAAATAAATGTGACCACATCAATCTAAAAAGCTTTTTCAGCAAAATAAACCATCAACAAAATGAAAAGGTAACCCCCTTTATGGAAGAACATATTTGCCAATGATACATCTGATAAAGCATTAATTTTCAAAATATATAAAAAACTTATACAACTCAACACCAGGAAAATGAACAATCCAACTAAAAAATGGGCAATAAGCCTGAACAGATACTTCTCCAAAGAGGACATACAAATGGCCAATAAACTTAGGAAAAAATGTTCAGCATCACTAATCATCAGAGAAGTATGTAGTTATTGTCATTTAATTATTCAGGTTTATGTTCTTTTTATTCTTTCTTCTTTTTAAAGAAGTCCCGTTAGCATTTATTGTACTACTGGTTTGATGGTAATGAACTCCTTTAACTTTTCTTATCTGAGAAGCTCTTTGTCTAGCCTTCAATCATAAATTATCACTTTGCTGGGTAGAGTAGTCTTAGTTGTAGGTCCTTGCTTTCACTGGAAATTTTTTGCCAATCCATTCTGGCCTGCAAAGCTTCTTTTGAAAAATCAGCAGAAAGTCTTATGGGAACTTCCTTATAGATAACTAACTGCCTTTCTCTTGCTGCTTTTAATATTCTCTGTTTGTCTTTAACCTTTGGAGTTTTAATTATGTTGTACCTTGGTGTGGGCCTCTTTGAGTTTATCTTTTTTGGGGCTCTGTGTATTTCTTGGACTTATATGTCTATTTTTTTTATTTTTTATTTTTTTTTACCAACCTCAGGGAAGTTTTCAGTCATTATTTCTTCAAATTCTTTCTCAATCCCTTGCTCTTTCTCCTCTTTTTCTAGTTCCCTTATGATTCTAATGTTGTTACACTTGATATTGTCCTAAAGATCTTTTCAACTATTTTCATTTTTTAATTCTTTTTGCTTTTTGCTGATCTGATTAAATGTTTTCTGGTATCTTGTTTTCAAATCACTCAGTCTTCTGCTCCATCTAATCTAGCGTATTCTTCATTTCAGTTATTGTCTTTTTAATTTCTAATTGGTTCTTTTTTATGGTTTCTATATCCTTTTTTAAAAAAAATCCTCACCTGAAAAAATAATATTTTTATTGATTTTTTTAGAAAAAGAAGAAGGGAGGAAGAGAAAGGTACAGAGAGAAATATTGATGTGAAAGAAATATATCTAATAGGAGGAAATGAAGATGCTTACAAGAAACAATTCTCTCAATGCATAAAATACCATGTAACTCCAGACATAATGGAGGAGATATATAAGAAAGCTCATGTTGCTATACAAGAGAATTCAGACTATGAAAAAGAAGTTAAACAGAAGACTGAAACCATCCACAAATGTCTCTTTCCCAGAAGAAATATCAGGTATCTCAAAAGAAGGAATGAGCTGCTGAGAGCTAACAATCCAAAGCATAATTTTCTATGGAAATTTTTCAGAATGAGACAACAATAAACAGGCTGACCAGGCATAAATAAATAAGTAAATAAATAAATAAATAATGGGACATCATTCAGCCTTAAAAGAAAATAAATTTTGATGCGTGTTACAACATGGACAAATGTTGAAGACATTATAATAAGTGAAATAAGACAGTCACAAAAGGACAGATAATGCTACCATGACTCAGAAGATTCAAAAAAAAAATGCAGATAAAAATGGAGTGAGGGGCACACCCTGGATTTCCTCAGGTTCAGACCAAATGAACCTAAATTAGCAACCACTAATCAAGAGAATCTTTGCATGGAGAAGAAGGCCTTAGTGCTGGAATAGAAGCAATAATGTCCTTTGCTGTGTAAACAAATGAAAAAGTTATAATGACCACAATGATCTGATGTCAATCTATGTATCTAACTGATTTCTAGTAACTCAGCCATAGTTCCATATAGCTTCCTTATTGACATACTCTTGAATGTCTCTTGATTGTTACCTAACATATTTGCCAGTTAAATTTCTTCTCATTTTTTAATTTAATACTGAAGCATATTCTCCTATCAGCAATTTTTCATGAATACTAAGTATTGGTAAAGATGTGGAAAATATGAAACCTTCATAAATTCATCGTGGGAATGTAAAACTGCTATAACTACTTTAAAAAGAACTTTGGAAATTTCTTTAAAAATTTAGACAGCAATTTGACCTACTAATTGCAGCCCAAGGTATCTACCCAAAACAAATGAAAATGTGTATCAGGACAAAGAAATGTGCACAAATGATCACATCAGCATTATTAACATCTTCAAACTGGAAATAGCTAACTGTTCATAAGCAGTAAATGGATAAGCAAACTGTGGTATAAACATTGAATAGAATCCTATTCTGCAATTAAAAGGAATAAAATATTGATACATACTTCTACAATGTATGAGGGGCACACCCTGGATTCTACATGAATAACCTTAGAATCTACATGAATAACCTTTTAAAAAATACACCAAATAGAAGAAGCAAGATACAAATGGCCACCCATTTTATGATTCAATTTATATAAAATTTGTAGAAAAAAAAAACCAATGTACAATATAAGGACAGAAAGTGATCAGGGGGTTCCTATGCTAAAGTGGAAGTGGTAATTAACTGTAAGTGGACAAAAAAGTATTTTTGAAGTGATAAAAATTTTGTAAAAATGGATTTTGTTAACAAATACCTAACACTAGAAATTTATTAAGATAATTGAACTTACCACATCAATAGGTGCATTTCATGTGTGTAAACTATATATATATATATATATATATATAAAAGGCTGTAGAGGGCCAAATGGGAAGACACCTGGACATTCTATAGATTGTTGTTGACTGGGCCCAGGATATTGACAGAATCATGTCAGTTGCACTCCCGCCCTGGGAGTGCGGAGATCTTAGTTCCTGACTAATGTGTTTGTTCAGGAGGAAGGAGTGGGTGGAACCTGGGCTCTCCCAGGCTCCTTGTTTTCCTGTGAAACCCCTCATTGGATTGGAGAATAAATAGATGGGCTGTGTAGCTCAGGAGGTCCTCAGTCTGTCTTTCCAGCAGAGGAGGTCAGTGGCCCTCCCAGCTCCCAGCTTGAAATCTATTTCCATGTCTTTCCTCTTCTTTTTTTTTTTTTTTTTTTTTTTTTTTTTTTTTTTTTTTATAAACAAAGAGTGTTTTAAAATATATTTTATTGATTTTGTACAGAGAGGAAGGGAGAGAGATAGAGAGTTGAAACATCGATGAGAGAGAGTCATCGATCAGCTGCCTCCTGCACATCCCCTACTGGGGATATGCCTGCAACCAAGGCACATGCCCTTGACCGGAATCAAACCCGGGACCCCAAACCAACGCTCTATCCATTGAGCCAAACTGGTTTCAGCCTGTCTTTCCTCTTTATTCCTAATATTTCTCAATCCCTGGGCACCTCCACTTAGAACCGGTTCATTCATCTCTCTTTCCATGCAGGACATGGAAAATAGAGATCCCTGCAGCTTCAGGCCCCCACAAAAGGCTAAAATGCAAAGTGTCCCCTCAGGAGTTTGACCAGGAGACTGGGAGTTTGATCACTCACTGTGACATGTGCTGACCACAGGGGGTGATGCAGAATGAAGGAAGTCCTCGGTAGACAGTTGGCAGCTGGAGAAGGAAGGCCCTGGCTGGCAGCCGAAAGGCCCCGATCAGGCCTGATCGCAGGCCTGGCTTATGGACCTACCCATGCAAAAATTTTGTGCACTGGGCATCTAGTATCTCAATAAAAATATTAAAACATAAATTCTGTAAAACCCAACATTCTATATTATAATTTTATATATATATATTTTTTTAATTTCTACCTTTTTAATGTATTTTATTGATTTTTTACAGAGAGGAAGAGAGAGGGATAGAGAGTTAGAAATATTGATGAGTGAGAATCATCAACCAGCTGCCTCTTGCACACCCCCTACTGGGGATGTGCCCGCAACCAAGATACATGCCCTTGACCAGAATCAAACCCGGGACCCTTAGGTCCACAGGCCGATGCTCTATCCACTGAGCCAAACAGATTTTGGCTATATTATAATTAATAACCATTAGTTATAACTGTATTTGACAAAGGTATCTGGGTACCTTCAGTATACAATTTTCTTTCATGAGAGAAAAAAAAAACCCCACAAACATTTGAGGCATTTCAGAGCCTATTGGGAAGATCTAAAGCCAATTCTAGATCAAGAGAAAGTTTTATGTTGTTTTTTGTTTTAAATTCAAACCCTTAAGGATTGTCAAATGTAGAGAGCAATTATAGAGTTAAGCCTTAGACTGATCTGCTGGCAAAGCCATAAACAGGTTCCAGCTTAGAGGGCACAGCCCTCGTAGCATAATTAAGCTTGATCTTATGACTACTCCCTAGATCTTTCCTGGGTAGCTAATTGGAGATGCAGCAAGTGCACAAAATTTGTACACGGGGCTGTGTCCCTCAGTCCAGCCTGCACCCTCTCCAATTTGGGATCCCTCTCACAATCCAGGACTGCTGGCTCCCAACTGCTCACCTTCCTGCCTTCCTAATTGCCCCTGATCGATTCTGCCTGCCAGCCTGATCATCCCCTAACCACTCCCCTGCCAGCCTGATCAATGTCTAACTGCTCCCCTGCCAGCCTGATTGCCCTTAACTGCCCTCCCTTGCAGGCCTGGTCACCCACAACTGCCCTCCCTTGCAGGCCTGGTTCCTCCCAACTACCCTTCCCTGCTGGTCACCTTGTGGTGGCCATCTTGTGTCCATATGGGGGCAGCCAACTTTGACCACATGGGGCCAGTGATCTTGTGTGTTGGAGCGATGGTCAATTTGCATATTACTCTTTTATTAGATAAGATATTTATATTTTTATATGAAAGAGCAATGGAGAAAAATATTTGACTAGATGGCAAAGAAGAGCAAAGAGGAGTAATTACTTTATAAAATAGCAAGATTAATTATGGTGTTATAATAATATTGAGGTTGCAGGAACTTTCCCTTTTCCCTCTTACTTCTTCCATTGGTTGAATACTTAAAATGACATTAGGCAAATTAACAGGAGAATATCATCTTTTAATATGTAAGCAAGAAGAATTCATATTAGCATGAATATTTCCAAGACAGTAAGGCAAAATTATATATATATATATATATATATATATATATATATATATATATATATATATATATATCATTCTGGATTAAGAAGGGTAAGAGAGGTGCCTAAGATTTATTACTTGAGATACAAAACAGTAGCTATTCAGGAAGCAGTTATCTAGGCAGAAACCCAAATATTGTTCCCACTAGGAAGTAAAGGTATAGGATATTTATGAGAAATGAAAGGGGAATAGTTACATGGAAAGAAGGAAGTAATTTCTATGGGTGCTAATAGGCTAAGGAAGGAACTTCTCCAGGTGTAAATAAACTCATGGTGAAGGAGGAAATAGACTCTGTAATAAATGCAGTTGAAACTAACCACATGGGGTGACCTGATCATAGATTCCTCACTTAGCAAGTCATGATGGGTATTCACGATTCAGGCCTATACAAAGCTTATCTTCAGCTTAAGCAGGCCCTATCCATTGTTTTGTGCATCGAGGAAGAAGCCAACATGTGGCAGAGTGAAGTGCAGCCCTGTGGTTTTGTGCCTGGACCTACCTGATCTTGGAAGTTTTTGTTGGGGAAGTTACTTGTTTTTATCATTTGACGCTTTTGGGGTTGAAGACACAAATCATCATTGATATAAATGAAGTATCTCAAATCTTCTCAACGTGTAAACTACTGTAATTATGCCAATTTCATAGATGAGAAAACTGAGCTTAGAGAGTTAAAATAAATTGCCAAAGACCCAGAACGATGGTTTAACAGAGGGAGGATTCAGACTCAGAGGATCTGATTCCAAAATTATCACCCTTAACCAATTGATCTCTGGTATGGGAAATTCAGAGGTTGCTTAGGTTTCCTGGATCTCTCATTATTTCTTTCTCTCTGTCATATTCCAGCAATGTAAGCCCAAAGCAGCTGATGTATCAATGAAAAGATGATATTCTAGAGATGAGCTTACTCAAAGCCCCTATCATGTCCTTGTTCCTCAGACTATAGATAAATGGATTCATCATAGGGGTGACCACTGTATATATCACTGATACTATTGCACTTTTCCTGGAAAAGTGTGTAGCCTCAGAACTGAGATATACACCAAAACCCGTCCCATAGAACAAGGAAACAACTATTAAGTGAGACCCACAGGTGGAAAATGCCTTATACTTTCCACCAGCTGATGGGATTTTCATAATGGAGGACACAATTCGACTATAAGAGAAAATTATCCCAGAGAGAGGAACAACACCCAACAAGCTGGTCACTAAATACACAAAGATGTTATTAAGGAAGATATCAGAACAGGCGAGTTTGAGAATATGAGCTAATTCACAGAAAAAGTGGGAGATTTTCAGGTCTGTGCAGAAGGACAGCCGTAGTGCCATCAAAGTGTGGAGTAGAGCATCCAGAACACTAATAAGAAAGGACAGCAGAACCAGCAACCCACAGAGTCTGGGACTCATGATGACATTGTACCTCAGTGGGTGGCAGATGGCTACAAATCGATCATAGGCCATCATTATCAGAATTCCATTTTCCAATCCAGCAAAAGTCAGGACAAAGCAGATTTGGGTGAGGCAGCCCGTGTAGCTGATGGCTTTGCTCTGTGTCTGAATGTTCACCAGCATCTTTGGGATCGTGGTGGTGGTGAAACAGATGTCAACAAAGGACAGGTTGGAGAGGAAGAAGTACATGGGCGTGTGGAGGTGAGAGTCATAGATAATGGCCATGATGATGAGCAGGTTGCCAAGCACAGTGACCAGGTACATGGACAGGAACAGGCAGAAGAGGATAAGTTGCAGTCCTGGGTCCTCTGACAGTCCCAGGAGGAGAAATTCTGCAGTATCAGAGAGGTTTCCTGATTTCATGTTGTAGATGATCCTGATAGAAAAGATGGAGGTGATGAGAAAACACCACTTAAGGAAACTTCCTTAAACTTGTCTATATTTTTAGACCTAATCAGTTACAGATGTCCTCTCCTGCTTTCTTCTCTTACTCCCTCTTCTTCTTTCCTTGTTTTATATTCCCATACAACCTACCTCATACTAGCCGCTGTCCCAAGGTTTTATTTTCCACCTATTCTTTGTGTATTTAATTTGGCAACTTTTTAAAATATATTTTTTATTGATTTCAGAGAGGAAGGGAGAGGGAGAAAGAGAGAGAAACATCAATGACGAGAGAATCATTGATCAGTTGCCTCCTGCATGCCCCCTACTGGAGATCGAGCCTGAACGCAGGGAATGTGCCTTTGACTAGAATTGAACCCAGGACCTCAGTCCACAGGCTGACGCTCTATCCAATGAGCCAAACCAGCTAGGACCAGCAACTTTGTTTTTGGCTTAACATTGTGGTTCCTATATCTATCAAGATTGATATAAGGAGGTCAGGTTCATTAATTTTAACATTAATGGAGAAGTATTTATAGAGACACATTCACATGTAATAATAGCGTTAGAATAAGTATGGCAAATACCCACCAAATTTCACAGAGTGGTAACATCTGAGAGGGAAAGAGGGAAATAAACAATAATGAAGGGAACTTTTACAGGATGACATAAGGTATCCCTGTATGAAGGCAAAGAAAGGCCTTTCTGTGTAGATGTTGGATGTCTGAAACTCAGTTAAAAATAAAATAAAGTAAAGGAGACTTTATGTAATGTGTAATACTTTATTGTTTTAAAACTAGTGACCTGGTGCATGAAATTCATGCCCATTAAAAGGGGATTAATTAGAGAAAATATTTTAATATTGCTATTTGCCCTTTCTCTATATAGAAGTGTCAGAGATGAAAGAAAATTAGTATAATGTATATGAAAATCCTCCTGTCAGAATATGGGGTGCACCGTGGGACCCAGAGTCAAGTTCCCTCCCACCCACAGTGCCTCAAAATTACATAAGACCTAAACCCAGACAGCACCACTCCCAATGGGCAAGATTCAGACCTGGCGCCCCCCCCCCCCCCCTTGTCAAGCCCTGTCTGGCAAGGGGCACAGTCTCAGGTCCCCCAGCTTGGCACTAAGGTCCCCTATCAAGCCCTACTGGGCAGTGGGGCATGGCCTAAGGTCCCCTGGCCTGATGCTGGGGCAGGGGGTGCAGCTTGAGGTCTCCTGGCCTGGCACCAAGGGGCAGGGTGGTTTGCAACCTGAGGTACCCTGTCAAGCCCCACTGGGTGGTGGGTCCAGTACCATGCAGCCTCAGGTCCCTGCTGATTGCTCCTTCAGCCATCTTGTGTTACAGAATCCGTCTCTGCTGTGGGTGCAGCCATCTGAACAGTTATGGTGTGATGGTCAACTTGCATATTCCCTCTTTATTAGATAAGAAAGTACCCGAGGCATATAGGCCAAAATTTCAACATTAATTCTGGAAAGTGGTTGCATATTGTTTATTTACTGCTCACTTGTTCTGGTGGTTTAAAATATTTATTTTTATTTAAAATAATGTTTTGTGTAGGGTTTTGTTTTGTTTTTGTTTTTCAAAGAAAGACTAAAAATGTAGAAGAGTGACTTGCCAATCCCAGAATCCACACAGTAAAGATATAAGGATGAGACTTGATTCTCCTCTAAGAATGAAATCTGAGGATCATACTTCAACATAATAAAAGCCATATATGACAAACCCACAGCCAACATCATACTCAATGGGCAAAAACTAAAGCCATTTTTTCCCTAAGAACAGGAACAAGACAGGGATGTCCACTCTCACCACTCCTGTCCGACATAGTACTAGAATTATTAGCCATTGGGATTAGACAAGAAGAAGAAATAAAAGGCATCCAAAAGAAGAAGTAAAGCTGTCCTTATTTGCAGATGACATGATATTGTACATAATAAACCTGAAAGACTCCATCAAAAAACTATTCGACTTAATAAATGAATTCAGCAATTTAGCAGGATACAAAATTAATGCCAAGAAATCTACGGCATTTCTATACATCAATAGTGAACTTACAGAGACTAAAAAAGCAATCCCATTTATCATCGCACAAAAAAATAATTAAGATACCTAGGAATGAACTTAACTAAGGAGGTAAAAGACTATACACAGAAAACTATAGGGCACTGAAAAAAGAGATAGAGGAAGATGTAAAGAGATGGAAGAACATACCATGTTCATGGATTGGTAGAATCCACATCATTAAAATGTCCATACTACCCAAAGCAATCTATAGATTCAATGCACTCCCCATTAAAATACCAATAGCATATTTCCCAGATCTAGAAAGAACTCTCCAAAAATTCATCTGAAATTTAAAAAAAAAAAGACCCTGTATAGCTTCAGCAATCCTGAGAAAGAAGAACAAAGTAAGAGGGATCTTAATACCAGATTTCAAGCTGTATTGCAAAGCCACTGTTCTCAAAAGAGCCTGGTATTGGCACAAAAACAAGACACATAGACCAATAGAATAGAACAGAGAACCCAGATATTGACCCAAACTACTATACTCAATTAATATTTGACAGAGGAGGCATGAACATACAATGGAGCCAAGACAGTCTCTTTTATAAATGGTATTGGGAAAATTGGACAGCTATGTGCAAAAAAATGAAACTAGACCACCAACTTACACTATACACAAAAATAAACTCAAAAGGGATAAAGGACTTAAACATAAGATAGGAAACCATAAACATACTAGAGGAATCCACAGGCAGAGAAATATCAGACATATGCCAAAGCAATTTCTTCACCGATACCACTCCTAGGGCAATGGAAGCTAAAAAGAAAATAAACAAATGGGACTACATCAAAATAAAAGGCTTTTTTACCACAAAAGAAACCATCAACAAAACAACAAGAAAGTCCACTGTGTGGGAAAACATATTTGCAAATGTTATCACTGATAAAGGTTTAACCTCCAACCTCTACAGACAGCCTATACAACTTAATAGAAGGAAGATAAATGATCCAATCAAAAAATGGGCAATGGACCTAAATAGAATATTTTCAAAAGAAGACAGAAGGAAGGCCAAGAGACATATAAAAACATGCTCAAAGTCACTAATTATCAGAGAGATGCAAATTGAAACAATAATGCAGTACCATCTCACACCTGTCAGAATAGCTATCATCAACAAATCAAAAGATGACAAGTGTTGGTGAGGATGTGAAGAAGAAGGAACCCTCATACACTGCTGGTGAGAATGCAGACTAGTGCAGCCACTGTGGAAAACAGAATGGAGTTTCCTCAAAAAACTAAAAATGGAACTCTCATTTGACTCAGTAATCCCACTTCTAGAAATATATCCTGAGAAACTAGAAACACCAATCAGAAAGGATATATGCACCCCTATGTTCATAGCAGCACAATTCAACATAGCTAAGATTTGGAAACAGCCTAAATGCCCATCAGTAGATGAGTGGATTAGAAAACTATGGCACATATACACAATGGGATACTACACTGCAATATATATATATATATATATATATATATATATATATATATATATATATATATGGAATTCTTACCATTTGCAGCAGCTTGGATGGACCTGGAGAGTATTATTTTAAGTGAAATAAGCCAGGCAATGAAAGAAAAATACCATGTGATCTTACTCATTTATGGAAAATTAAAAAAAAAATTATAACCTGATGAACAAAAAGATAGATACAGAGATAGTAAAGCACTGAACAGACTGTCAAATTACAGCGAGAAGGCTGGGGAGTATTGGGGAGTGTTGGTTGTGCATATAAGCACAACTAATGGACACAAGATACTGGTGGGGTGGGATGAGGGTATAGAAAAGAGGATAGGGGAGGCTGGGGGAAGGCCAATAGGGGGAAAAAAGAAATATATGTACTAATATATGTAATACTTTAAACTTTTTTTTTTTAAAGATCTATTCTCTCTCAAAAAACAAAATAAAAAAGAATGGAATCTGAAAAAATGAGAAGCCAAATTTACCCCACCCTTGCCCCACTAAAGACCAAATAAATGAGGGAAACCAAAGAATTGTAGAATATGTCTGGTTTTTAAAGAAGTTAAATTATGCTCAGGTAGGGAAAGAGTCCCTAGAATTTAGAAGACACAATAAGAGCCAGAAATTATGAAAGCCAATTGCAAATTAGATGAAAGAGAGAAAGTAAATATATGAAATTAGTTTCAAATTTTACTTATAAGTTGATCCTACTGAACTTTCTCTTACCTCTTGGATGTCCTCCAGATAGTCTGGTTGGGAGGGAAAAAACAAACACAAAACTGGCCAATATCTCATAGCATTTACTGGGGTACTTAAGATTACCTAGGAACCATCAATGAGTAACTCATCTTTCCTCTGGAAATTCAAGTGTGGAAATGGGAAATCTGACCCCAGGAAGGGCAGGTGGACCAATGATGGTAGTTGGGCTTCTGGGAAAGAAGGATCATCTCAGGAGACTCAGATGTGCTGGGTTTTGACCTGGGATGGGCTGTTGAGTAGAAGGGTCACAGGTAGACTATTTGTGGTCTTGGGGGCTCAGTTCCCAAAACTCCTCATTATCCAAATGTGTACTGTCATCCCCCCCCCCCCCCCTCCCCAGGCAGTTCATATCCTAAGGAGCACAGCTCATAGTAAAGAACTCCTGGGTGACTGATTGCTGACCCTGAGAAGACAGGTATATACATCATTCTCTTCCTACATATTTCCTCTTACCTCCAGGGAATCTCATGCTTGAGAGAACTTGTGGGCTTCTCCTTAGACCAATTCCCAGCTTTATCTGAGTAAAATTAAAGGACTAGAGAACCAGAGTGTATGTCTCCACAGGGACACAGAGACTCAGAGATGCAGACAAGGTATCATGGGACCATCTCCACAAAGCCAACTCTAAGAAAATTTTCTCTTTTCTTAATTAAAGTCCCTTCATAAATGAGGTTGGCACTATTGCAGAAAAGGGGGAACAAAGAAACCAATTTACTAGTTACTTGTCCAGGTTTTTAGATGTTGCTTGAAAAATAGATACTAGCCGAAACCGGTTTGGCTCAGTGGATAGAGTGTCGGCCTGCGGACTGAAAGGTCCCGGGTTCGATTCCGGTCAAGGGCATGTACCTTGGTTGAGATCACAAAAAAGCACTATCTATAAAGGAAGCAATTGATAAAATGACTGCATTGACATTGGTAAACTTTGAATAATATAAATGAACTCTCTGTATTATTAATTCAAGTTTTCTGTGTGTATAAGAGTAGTTCAATCAAAGTTTTAAAAAGTCAAAAAAATTAAAACCAAAGTGGTAGTCCTAGCCCTGACCAGGTAGCTCAGTTGATTAGAGTGTTCTGATATACCACGGTTTTGATTCCTGGTCAGGATATATATAAGAAAGAAGTAGAAAAATAAATTTATGTTTCTCTCTCTCTCTCTCTCTCTCTCTCTCTCTCTCTCTCTCTCTCTCTCACACACACACACACACACACACACACACACACACACACAGACACTCTCTCTCTCTCTCTCCCTCTCTCTCTCTTTCTCTCAAAATCTAATCAATCTTTCCAGGATGTTTTCTCCAGAGAAAATCTCCCCAACTACTGAACTTTCCCCCATCCCCTGCACACATGGATAAATATTTCTTTTTGTGTGTTTTCTGTCCATTCAAATGTCATTTCATCAAAATTACATTCATTGTGAGCCCCACATCCAATATAAAGCCAGTCTTCTCTTATTTCACTGCCTGAGAGCTCTCTATTCTTCCTATCTAGCCCTTGTCATGATATGTAATTACATATTTAGTTCTTTGTTTATTTATTTTCTTTCTCTTCCTCTAGATTGCAATCTCCAAAAGTATAAGACCATGATCTTTTCGCTTTAAAATCCTATATTCAATCACCAGTACATCACTAGCCATATGGTAAGTGTCTAATATTCTGAGTGAAGAAATTAATGGGTCACCAAATGATCAATTCTGCCTTCCACCTGGCCCCCAAATCATCCCTTGGTTCTACATTGCAACCATCAAGAATCTTCCTAAACCCCGTGGACAAAAATGGGGTCACATACTTAACCTGATAATCTCAGAAGAGGCCAGCATGGTAGGATTTATAAACTCAGAGACTGAAATTAACCACATTGATGGTCTAAACATAAAAATCTCTAATTAAAAGCAAGTCATGGTATTATTGTCTAGTTATTAGCTAGTTATTAATACTAATAATAGAAAGCAAAGGGGGAAAATGGACACATGGGCAGTGAAGTCAGGGATGATGTAGGAAAGTGCTTGTCTGTCAGTCTAACCTAGGAAAAAGGTAAGTGGCTAGAGGGGTGGAGGAATCCTGAAGGGTTCATTGGTTAAGCTCCCAGTTACAATCCCAGACAAAGAATTCTCTATTGCCTGGTTGCTCTTGTGCTCCTGTTTCTCTCTTGCTCTGTGACCTACCCCTACCTGTGCCCTTCCGTAGCCATGTGGCCATGCAGACCCCACATGCAGTGAACTGAAACTAGCCTAGCAAATGTTGGGCTCAACTGTGCTTTAATAGGGAGCAGAGACCCTGGGCAGTGACTTTAATCCTAGCTCTGCTGAAAACAGATGGACTTTTATGGCCAGATGGAAGGAAATTGGACCTTCGAAACCTAAGGGTTTAATTCCACAGAAATAAATAGCATTCATCTTCCCATGTGAGTCTCAGGAAATTCCTTTTCTTGTGGCATCATAAAAATTCCACTTCCAGCCAAAACCAGTTTGGCTCAGTGGTAAAGAGTCGGTCTGCGGACTGAAAAGTCCCGGGTTCGATTCCGGTTAAGGGCATGTACATTGGTTGCGGGCACATCCCCAGTAGGGGGTGTGCAAGAGGCAGCTGGTCAATGTTTCTCTCTCATCAACGTTTCTAGCTCTCTATCCCTCTCTCTTCCTCTCTGTGAAAAATCAATAAAATATATTTTTTTAAAAAAAATTCCACTTCCACAGGCAACAGGTAGCACACAAAGGGCACCCCACCAATAACAATGATGGTGGGTCGTGGCCTGGGCCTGTAACTTTTGACAAAGGTCACTCTTTACTTAAGTAAACTTGCCATTGGCTTTTTGCATTTAAGATAAGGTGCCCTTAGAATGTCAGAGTAATCCCCTATTTCTGAACCCCTCAGGGTATGTCAATGTAAGAAACACCTAAACCTGTAAGAATTTTTTAGTTTATTTGAGCCAAACTGGTGATGAGTGCTGGAAAGCAAAAATCTCAACAGAATAAGAAAATGCTTCAGAAAATATTATTTTTTGCACCTTATTTTATACATTAGAATCAAAAGAGAAGATCTAAGTGGATTACAGTACATGAAATCCATTGATGATAGATGAGGGAGGTGGGAGAAAGCAAAGTGGGGAAATCTCTGGGATTGAGTAAAAAGTAAAAGGAATAAATGCATACTTCTTTTATAGAGGTGGGTACAGAATAGTTAACAGTTAACAATTAACATGAGGGGGTCTGTGGTCTCCTGCTCTGGTGGGAGATTGTGCCCACTGGGGTCTGGAAAAGGAAATTACCCTGACAATTCCAATGGTATGTTATCAATTGATGCAAAAAGTCAGGTAGATGCAAAAACACAATAGATAGACTAAGCTAAGATAAAGATTGACCTTTGTTGAAGAAGATACCTGCCATAGATTCTTTTAGGTAGGAAGTGTTTTTGTTGTTTGTTAATATATTTTTATAGATTTCAAAGAGGAAGGGAGAGGGAGAGAGAGAGAGATAGAAACATCAATGATGAAAGAGAATCATTGATCAGCTGCCTCCAGCACACCCCTACTTGAGATCGAGCCTGAAAAACAGGCTTGTGCCCTTGACAGGAATTGAATCCAGGACCCTTCAGTCTGCAGATGGACCCTCTATCCACTGAGCCAAGCCAGCTAGGGCTAGTTAGGAAGTTTTAATTCCAGACCATCCTATGTGGTTACTTTAGGTCTCTGAGTTTGTAAGACTCGCCAGGAAGGCCTCCCCTTTCATTCTTTTTCTGTGTTCCATCTTCATCATGTAGCTAGCTCTGCTACATGCAGTCATGCTGAGAAGGCTAACCCCTATTTTGTAAAACTACTGTTTGGAATTTTCTGCTATTTTTTAGATGGCTTCTTATTCAAAAATAAATAAATAAATAAATAAATAAATAAAATAACTTTTCTTTCTAGCTTGCTTTCGCCGGCTTGAATAACAAGGAAGATAAACTTAGCTGTCTGACCTTGTAGGCCAGAGACTAGATCTGCTCATACTCTCAATGCCATGTCAGGTGCATTTTTTTTAATTAGATAGAACTATGTTGTTTTCAAGGCCAGGAATGAGATAACCACTAAGCACCCATAGGCTGGCTTTTTAATAAAAAGGGAAGTTCTGCTTGTAGCTTGGCTTAGGATTTGAATTCATTTTCTCTAAGCCCACCATGATGAATGACGTGTGACTCCAAACTCTCTGAGCATTGCTTGATTTATTCTGGTTCTCTGTAATATTATTGGTTCCCTGAGACTCCAGGAAAACCAACCAATGCTTGGCCTTTTGGCCTCTGGCGAGTGGACTGGGTTTGAGGCCCAGGGGCACTGGACAGGCCTCCAGGAGGCTCGAGCTCTGTGATCTTAGCAGAATTAAACCAGAGGACTATGGGTGCTCCTGGACCTCAGCCGAGGACCTGGCCAGCATCTGGAGAGAGTGGATGGACACTTCGGGACTTGTCTACAGAATCAGTAAGGTAGGGGACCCAGTCAGTCAGGCCCACTCCAAGTGAGTGGAAGGAGGAGCTTGATCACCTCCCCAGAAGCCTTAGAGCTTCCTTAGGCAATGAGTCAGGAATTGGGTGGATTGTTTAAACTCTGAGTGAATGACTGGTGAAAGTGTGTCAGTGTGGAAGGAAAGGGCCTGCCCTCTCTCCTTTGAGTGGCTCCACAACTTCGGTTACGAGTCCGAATTGACCCCAACCTGTGGTTCCTCTATTCGTCATATGGCATAATGGTGACTCACCCCCACTCAGAGGTGACCAGGCCCGGGGTTTATACGGGTGCACCTTAGCTAAGATGAATCTAAGCTCCCAAGGGATATGGCCAGGAGGGCATCTGAGTGAGGATCTGTGAAAACAGGTCACCCCTCCCTTGTCTGTCTCACCACCGATCATCATGGGGTCTAGACAGAGCAAACCCACTGTTCTTAATTATATATTAAATTTTTTTAAAAAAAGGGATTCAACGGGGATTATGGAATTAAAATGAATTCTGAAACACTGAGGAAATTCTGTGAAGTGGAATGGCCAGCCTTCAGGGTTGGCTGGCCCTTGGAAGGCTCTTTAATGAAGGATTGGTCAGGGCAGTCTGGAAAGTAGTCACAGGAGACCCCGGAAACCCAGGTCAGTTTCCCTACATAGACAGACAGCTGGTTAGAAATTGCTCAAACCTTGCCCCCTTGGGTCTGGTTCTGCAAGTGTAAGAAGGGACAGAGTAAGGTTTTAGTAGCAGGAGTGAAGAGACAGGCAGGGCAGGAGCGGGCTAAGGAGAGGCAGGCAAGGGAGAGGCAGGCAGGGCAGGAGCAGGCTAAGGAGAGGCAGGCCAGGGAGAGGCAGGCAGGGCAGGAGCAGGCTAAGGAGAGGCAGGTAGGAGAAGAAAAGCAAGACCCTCAGAAGGAAGTTCAACCCCTATTCTACAGACCCTCTCTTCTCCCCTCCTTCCCCCCCTCAGGAAGTCCCACCAGTTTTACCACCTCCATATGAGCCACAGCAGCAGCAAGTGCTCCCCTGCTAGCCTGGAAGGTCCGGAAAGTCTGGAAACACCCCCCTCCCCGCCCCCCAGTCTCTCCTCAACCAGGCTCTTCAGAGCTGGTTGGGCCAGTTTGCATTCAGCTGATCAAGGGCCCAAACAACAACCAGCATGTCAGATGCCTCTCAGGAAGATTGGGGTGCCCAAGTGCTTGGCAAAGATGGAACTTTATAGGAAGGAAGGCTGGTCTATAATTATCAGCCCTTTACCACAAGTGACATTCTGAATTGGAAGCAACACACCCATCTTATTCTGAAAAACCCCATGGTGGAATATGCATGGTTAAAACAGACATCCCTGTGTTGTGCCTGATCTTAAGGGAAACATGTTTAGTTTTACCTGCTAAATATGATGTTGGCTGCGTGTTTATTATTTATAGCTTTATTATATTGAGGTATGTTCTCCTTATTCCCACTTTGCTTAGTTATTACCATAAATAGGTTCTGGATTTTATTATATGCATTTTCTGCATCAATTGATAGGATTATGTGGATTTTATCCTTCATTTTGTTTATGTGGTATATCATGTTTATTGATTTGTGGATATTGTACCAATTTTGTATCCCTGTAATATACCTCACTTGATCGTGGCATATGATCTTTTTTTATATATTGCTGGATCCAACTTGCTAAAATTTTGTTAAAGATATTAGCATCTGCCAAAACCGGTTTGGCTCAGTGGATAGAGCATCGGCCTGCAGACTGAAGGGTCCCAGGTTAGGTTCTGGTCAAGGGCATGTGCCTTGGTTGCGGGCACATCCCCAGTAGAGAGTGTGCAGGAGCCAGCTGGTCAATGATTCTCTCTCATCGATGTTTTTAACTCTCTATCCCTCTCTCTTCCTCTCTGTAAAAAATAAATAAAATATATATATTTTTTAAAAAGATATTAGCATCTATGTTTATCAGAAATATTGGCCTATAATTTTCTTTCTTTGTAGTGTCTTTATTTGATTTTAAAACTAGGATAATTCTGGCTTCATAAAATGAGCTCGGGAATTTTTCCTCCTCTTGAGTTTTTTTGGAATAGTTTGAGACAGATAGGTATTATAGTTCTTTGAATGTTTTGTAAAATTCACCGGTGAATTCATCTGGTCAAGGATTTTTGTTTGTTGGAGTTTTTAATTACTGCTTCAATTTCACTAGTTGTAATCTGTATAATCCAATTTCCTGACTCAATTTTGGAAGATTGTATCTTTCTAGGAATTAATCCATTTTTTACAGATTTTCCACTTTGTTGGTATACATCTCCTCTTTGTTTCTAATCTTATTTTTTTCTGATGAGTCTGGTTAAAGGTTTGCCAATCTTGCTTATCTTTTCAAAGAACCCACTCGGTTTCATTGATCTTTTATATTGCTTTTGGGACTCGATTTGGTTTATTTCTGCTCTGATCTTTATTTCCTTTCTTCTACTCACTTCAGGCTTTATTTTGTTATTGTTTTCAAGTTTCTTTAAGTGTAAAGTTAGAATGTTTGAGTTTTTCCCTGTTTCCCGAAGTAGGCCTGTAATGCTAAGAATTTCCCTCTTATGACTGCTTTCACTGTGTCCCATAGATTTTGGGTTGTTGTGTTCTCATTTTCATTTGATTCAAGGTACCTTTTGGTTTATTCCTGGATCTCATTATTAACCCATTCATTGTTTAGTAATATAGTACTCAGCCTCCATGTTTCTGTGTGTTTGTTTCAGTTTTTATTTCTTGTGGTTGATTTCTAGTTTAAGAGCATTATAGTCAGAGAAGATGCTTGATATGATTTCAATCTTCTTAAACTTATTGAGACTTGTATTGTTGGACCCCCCAAAGGAGACCCCTGCCCTGACCCAGGATCAGCGACGACCCAGTCAAACGCAAGAGACGGCACTTGATGCAAATAGCAAGAGGATTTATTCCAGCGTGCTGGGACCTGACCTGTTACTCACGCAGGAGCAGCCAAGTCAAGTCCTGAGCAGAACTTCTTACAGGCTTATAAAGGCAAAAACTGCAAAGTTAGAACAAAGGACAAGGGGAGGGGGTCTTCCAGAAAGAGGGACAGGAATTCCTTGAGGGGAGGATAGACATTATCACAAGGAACAGGGTGGAACCTCCTCAGGACATTGATAATACAATACATCCAGTTTACTACCTCTAGGGCAGGGGTGTCGAACTCATTGTTTAGTAATATAGAGAAGGGGCCAAAATCTAAAATCCAGCCTAAATCGCAGGCCGAATGGTTTACTGAACAGTCATAAACTGACAATGTTAACCAAAAATGTGAATTTAAAATGAGTGGAACAATCTTTTCCTTAACAGTGCTGTTAACCAACTCACATGCTATCAAGCAAAACAGTAATATTGGTATCAAGCAAAACAGTAATATTGGAATGTACCTAAAATGCTCATTGTTTTGTTTTCTGGCTAGATGTCTGACACCGTTTTCCCCGGATCAATGAGTCAATGTTTGGTTTTATTTCTTGGGCTGTAGCAACCCGCAAAACAGCATGGAGGTTGTCATCGGTAATGCGTGATCTGTGCTTGTTTTTGTTCAGATTCATTATTGAAAACATCTGTTCACAAAGATAGGTGCTCCCGAACATGGATAGAATACGGGCAGCATGAAGTTGGAGCTCTGGCATTGAGTCAGGGGGCAGTAGAGGGTAGAAGTCCTAAATTTCAACATCCTGAAACCTTGATTTCAGGCCACTGTCAGACTGAAGCTCGATTATCTCCATCTGAAGGTGATGGGGCACATTGTTGACATCAACTGTAAAAGGATTGGCAAAGATGTCAAAGCCTGAGTGCTGTGTTCTAAAGTCAGAGAAGCGCCACTCAAATTCACTTAGTAAATGGCTAACTTTGGTAGCCAGCCGACTGCAAGGAAAAGTACCAGAAATAGTGGTTGAGATACTCAAACAAACGGGAAAGTGGGCAAGATTGTCCTGTTCCAGTTGGGACTTCCATAGTTGAAGTTTACGCTGGAATGCTGTGATCATGTCAGACATCTTCGTGATGACTTGTTTGCGTCCCTGCAGCTTCAGATTCAGTTGGGTGAGATGCTCACATATGTCACACATCATAGCAAAATCACATAGCCAGGCGGGATCCGACAGTTCAGGCAAGGGCTTTCCTTTACTTTCCATGAAAAGAGCAATTTGTTCTCTGAGCTCAAAAAATCTTTTGAGGACTGCGCTCTTGCTCAGCCATCTTACTTCTGTGTGGTATGGCACATCTCCATGCTCTGCACCCACCTCCTGTAAAAACTGCTGGAACTGGCGATGATTCAGGCCACGTGCCCGTATAAAGTTAATAGTTTTAATGACTGTGGTCATTATGTCATTCATGTCCAGAACTTTTCCACACATAGCCTCTTGGTGGATAATGCAATGATAAGTAATCAAGGGTGTGTGGCAGTGACTTTTTTGCATTCTTTCCTTCATTAGTCCAACCAAGCCTTTCTTTTCTCCGCACATTGAAGGTGCGCCATCGGTAGTTAGCCCCACCAACTTTTCCCAGGGTAATTTAAAATTATTTATAGATTTCTCCACAGCCTCAAATATATCTCTACCAGTCGTCGTCCCATGCATGGCAGCTACATCCAAAAGTTCCTCAGTGACAGAGAGATCGGTCTTTGTAGCACGTATAAAGATGGACAGCTGTGCTGTATCAGTGTTGTCTGTGCTTTCATCGATAGCAAGTGAAAAAGTGAGATAACTGCATGCCTGTTCGGCCAGCTGTGATGATAGATTTCCTGAGAGTTCTTGAACTCTATCTGCAATGGTGTTTCTTGACAAACTGACATTTTGAAAACTCTGTATCTGGTCTGGGCATACTTGCTCACACACTTTTAGCATGCATTGCTTCAAAAAGGCACCCTCTGAAAAACACCTTGAAGTACGGGCAATTTCTTCAGCCACTATAAAGCTTGCTTTTACTGCAGCATCATTTTTCGCTGTAGCCTTTGTAAACGTTTGCTGCTGTGATTGTAGTTTGCCTTTTAGTTCTTTAACAATTTTATGCTTTTCTTCCAAAGTATATTTGCCATACTTAACATTATGTTTGGTGTCAAAATGACGACGTATATTGTACTCTTTCATCACCGACACTGTATCATAACACAATATACACACTGGTTTGCCCTCTCTAAGCACAAACATGTATTCATTTTCCCATTTGTCATTAAATTGTCTGCCTTCACCGTCACCTTTTCTTTTCCTGGACATTTTGGGATCAATATTGGCAGTAAAAGATGTAGTTTATTGGAAATCTGCGTTAGAAGGAAAAAGCTGAAAACTGCACAGGGATAGCTTGATTTGGCAGATGGAGTGGAGAAAAAAAAAGTCAGTCAATAAATGCCTGGCTGGGTACAGATAGCAGATTCTGTTGCGATTTTTATGCCTGCACTTTATGCCAGGAACTGGCAGCTTCTGCTGTGTATTTTTTTTTTTTTTTTATATTAATGGAACCATAGTGTGTACTCTTATTTGTAGGATCTTTTTTTTTTTTTTTAAATATATTTTATTGATTTTGTACAGAGAGGAAGGGATAGAGATAGAGAGTTAGAAACATCGATGAGAGAGAGTCATCGATCAGTTGCCTCTTGCACACCCCCTACTGGGGATATGCCCGCAACCAAGGTACATGCCCTTGACTGGAATCGAACCCGGGTCCCTTCAGTCCCAAGCCGATGCTCTATCCATTGAGCTAAACCGGTCCCGGCTGCTGTGTATTTTTTATGTGCGCACACTCACTCTCTCCTCTGCTCTGCCACCCGCACAACCACATCGGATGCCGGACTATAGGTCACGCCTCCTGAATCTCGCGTGACTTGTTATCTATGCGCATGCGT